CTATTTTTTTCTTAGTCTAGCTAAAGATTTGTCTATTTCATTGATCTTTTTGAAGACCCAAATCTTGGTTTCATTGATTTTTGTCTGTTTTTCTCTGCTCATTGTTTCCTTCCTTCTGCTAGCTTTAAGTTTAATTTGTTCTTCATTTCCTCATTCTTGAAGGTGTAAATTTAAGTTGTTCATTTGGGAACTTTCTTTTTACATGTAAGCATTTATAGATCTTGATTTCCCTCTTAGCACTGCTTTCACTGCTTCCCTAAGTTTTGGTATGTTGTGTTTTAATTTCATTTGTCTCAAGATATTTTCTAATTTCCTTTGTGGTTTCTTTGACTCATTGGTTTCTTAAAAGTGTGTTGTTTAATTTCCACATATTTGTGGATTTTCTAGTTTTCCTGCTGTTGATTTCTAGTTTCATTGTGATCAGAAAATATGTATGATTTCAGTTTTTAAAAATTTATTAAGACTTGTTTTGTGGCCTAACATATGATCTATCCGGGAGAATGTTCCATGTGCACTTGAGAAAAATGTGTATTCTGCTGTTGTTGGGTAGAATGTTCTGTTAATATCTGTTAGGCCTAATTGCTCTATTTGTTCAAAGACCTATATTTCCTTATTGATCTTCTGTCTGGTTGTTCTATCCATTACTGAAAATGGGATATTGAGTCTCCTATGTTATTGTGTTGCCATCTATTTCTCCCTTCAATTCTGTCAGTTTGTTTCATGTGTTTAGGAGCTCTAATTTTGGTGATGTATGTTTATAATTGTTATCATTTTGGTTACTTGACCCTTTTATTATTATATAATATCCTTTGTCTCTTGTAATAGTTTTTGACTTGGTCTATTTTGTCTGATATTAGTATATCTGTTGTTTTAGACCATTCATGGGATCTGTTGGGAATACAGACATGAGGTAAAACCCCATTAATATTGTCTTGAAGGTAGATGAGATGGAATCAATAGGACTGAGAAGATCTAGCCTTAAAACAGGAAGGCAGCATCTACTTCCCTGAGAGTGAAGGGAAGCTGGGATGGACAGAAGGGATGATATAGGTGAGGACCAGATGTTGAGTGAGCTTAGGCCTCAGAGATGCCTTTGTGAAGAAGTAGGATGGCCCTGTCAGAGGGCTTGGGCAGGAGAATTCAGGATTGAGGTATAGAAGGAGATGGATAGGATTTAGGGGGGAAATAGTTTCCCTGTGTTATTAATTATGGGGCAGAGTATAGCTATGAGGAATGAGTAAGCTAGTTCCCAAATTAAGACCAAGAAAAATACCTCCATTCCTTCAGTAACAGCAGAGACTTTCCCCATCCCCTCTCCCTTTAATATATGACCTGGCTTTTTTCAGTACAAATACCTGAAATGTAAAAGTGAGCCTCATGTTAAGATCGAAGGGAAGGACACTGATGACTGGCTGTGTGTGGACTTTGGTAAGTTATTTTGGCACGTTTTACAGATAAACATTTGGTATTACGCTAATCTTGAACTATTTTCAGTTGCAAAAGGAGTGAGATCAAATTGCTGAGTTTTTCCATGTAAAATTTTTGAAATTTAAAATAGTTTTATTTAGTTATAACCCAGGTGGTCTTATTCACATATGAAATCCTCACCTAACCTGGTATATATATTACTAGCCATACAGGTCAGAAAGATGGTGAGAACAGAATGGATAATGTGGTAGAAATGGGAGAGATCTCTTAGAGGTGGTAGAAGGCTTGGAGTACATGTAACCTTGGCCTTAAATAACTCAGATCAGGTGAAGGGGAAGGGCATTCTAGGCACAGGAAAGGACAAGAGCAGAGGACTGGAATTTTGAAAAGACCTAATGAATTTGAGCATTAATGTATACATAGTTTGAAAGTATTTCCCCACAAGATACTTATTACAAAGGGAAAAACAGTAACTGTCAAGAACTGTGAAGGGTCTGAGATTTTATCTTACTTATAAGCTAACAAGTTAGCTGGCCGGTTTCATGCGTACTGGTAAAAGACTCAAGAGTATTCCAGGGTTAGAGATGAAGGACAGTTAATTATTCACAGCAATAGCAGTAGCCAGCAGTGGCAATTTTGCACCAGGTTCCCTGAGCCCCAGCTTCTGTAGAGCAACACAGGACCAGATGACACCTGCACACAGTTCTAAGAGAGGAACGCTGACATTAGGGTATCCACATCTTTTATAATGGGCAGGAAGTAGGCCTGCATTTGCTCTGGTGGAAGACACTTCTTCTGCCAAGGCTGTAAGTCAGGGTTTCTCAGCTCTGTCACTATTAACGTTTTTGAGCAGATAATTCTGATGGGGGTGGGAGGAATATCCTTTGCATTGTAGAATGTTTAGCAGTATCCCTTCACCTCTCTACCCCTCAATTCTGAAAATCAGAAATGTCTCTGATTGAGAACCACTGCTGTAAGCACACCTGCTCTTTGACCTGGAGGGAGATGGTATCTCTTTCTGAGACTCTTTGCCATACAGACATCCTTGAAAAGATAGTCCAGAACAAAAGGCAGTCAGTGCTTTCAGTGCTTTCCTCAGAGGATGTGCAGAAATGTGATACCTATGGAGAATTGTGTCCCAAGAGAAACCTGACAGACCCCACCTTTAGTCACTTGGCTAAAGTTAACATCACCAGTAAGGTGACATATTGACATCATGGGCCTCTTGTATGATGCACTGAGAAAAAGCACAGCATCGCTTCTGCGGTATTTTTGCAGGATGGGGTCCACAATTGGCAGTTCTAACAAGTTCCCAGGTGGTGCTAATCTGGAGTCCACACTTTGAGAACCAGTGCTCTAATTGTCACAGAGGTTTGTGAGATCACAAGAATAAAAGCAAATGAACTGCTGCTTCGTTGTAACTCTTATCTGTCCTTGATAGGCAACATGGTGATTCATTTGATGCTTCCAGAAGCCAGAGAAACCTATGAATTAGAGAAATTATGGACCCTACGTTCTTACGATGACCAGTTAGCTCAGATAGCACCTGAGACATTACCTGAAGACTTCATTCTTGGAATAGAAGATGACACTTCATCCCTGACTCCAGTAGAGGTCAAATATGAATAAAATGATATGAACTGCTTTAGTCATTTCCGATTTGGATTGAGTCACTTCTTAAAAATATAGCTTCTAAACCCTGTCTCGTTCGTTAGATTGTTGTCAAAACAGGTCTTAACTATGGGCACTCATTCTAACTGACATGTGGAAATGGTAGGTAAATGAGCTAATTCTCACAGCAAGAATCAGTACATGGAAACTAAAATTTATACCTGAGATCCCAGCAGGATTTCCTGGAGTTAGCACTGACTCCTGTGCTTAACTCAGGCTCTCTGCTCAGAGTTTAATTTTGCTTAAATCTTATTCTGTAGAATGGAATAGCCAAAATTTTTATAAAATAAAGCAAAAAACATAACCACCCCACTGGTCCTATTACTTAAAACCTATAGTTTTTAGTTCATATGCAACAGTGTTACCAAGGTTCACAGTAAGTACCATGAGATGGAGAAAATAATTTACTAGTAGATATTGGTGCTTACCTTGAGACTGACATAGTATTACTAAAAATCTATTCAAGTTTATAGTTTGACTAAATTCAGAACATTCACATTTATTTGAAAAACCAGAAATAAAACATAGTACATACCACGCTGCACCTAATGATGAAAAACTTTATTCTGCATCAAGGTATCTGGAAAATGAAGCTGCATTTGGGGCACATTACAGTTGAGGAATGATCCATATGCGGTGAGTACAAAACTCAATTACAGAATTATTTCCTACCTATTACCAGATACTCCATTACCAATGCTTAATTGAAAGTAAAATATGATTTGCCATACTAAAAGGCTAGAAATGAAAGATGACAATTTAAACCAGCAGATATAAATGTAGCACCTATCTGTATAAAAAAACCACAAAAAACAAATATTGGAAAAATCAAATACTAAGAAAGAGCTCTGGCCTTAAGTGCATCTCACCTGAAATCCAACCAGAAAGCCAGTCCATGATTTTTTTTTAGCAATTCATTGTATGAAAAAAAATTATGAATTGTTAGATGAATTCAGTGACAGAAGGGCACTTTTTGGCTAAAACTACAAAATAAACTGGTTTTCTGAAAACATTTAGGAAAACATTTCAAGTCATTTTCAGAGTGTCTAATTGATAAGGTGATCTTCAGAAAAATGAGCCTGTGTAGAAATTCATCTTGAAATACGAATGAGGCAAAATGATTTTTTTCAAGGGTTATTATATATGCCCTTTAGATCAGTGTAATATGATGACTGTGATCATTTAATGAACAAAAGAAACACAGAAACAATTCTCAGAGCAGCGTGGCCTTGGAGACCACCCACACCCACATAATTGTACATCCCAGGGCTTTGCCATCAAGCTAAGGAATGGGCAAATGAGTTCAGTATCAAAGGTCAAGTGTTGTATCACAGTCATTCAAATTATATTCCAAAAATTATTTGCTTGTATTCCCTACCTTTTGACGTATTATCAAATAACTGGTTGCAGAGAATACAGAAATCCTGCTGCAGTTTATGTGATACTTTAGGTGGCCTTTGATTTCTCTTGATTTATCATTGTTTTAAAAATCTTCAAAATAGCTTAGTGAGGCTCATGACGGTGCCTGGCACATGGAGATGTAGCCTTTTATTGCCTTTAAACACTGTCACCCCATATGACTGCCCCATTGGTCTTCACAAAGCAATTCTTTTGGAGTCTGCTCAAAGTATAGACCATCTGGTCTGAAGTGGATTGGCAAACTAAGCATCTTGTAAGACAAGCTGAAGCTTGGTTTTTGCCAATCAGATTCAAGTCCACAGGGGCTGCATCTTTTCACTGATGTACTTTCTTTAGGTAGTGATAGTCAAAAGCACAAAGCATTTATGCATTCAATCACGTAGCTGAACAAAAAAACTGAAGTCTCCTGAAACCATTTCAACTAGCCGTTCCAAAACCTCCTGCAACCACTTTGCTCTGTTAGTACCATCAAAAACTTTCCCTACCATAAACGAAAAAATAAATGGTATTGCTGCTCTCCAAATATAGGCACTGCTCCATATCACTGAACATTTATCGGATTTGCAAACTAATAACTGTGTCAAAAGCCTCAAAAAACCTGAAATTAATTTTCCAGCTTTACTGTAACCAGTGAGAAGTAACTTTTTTTTCTCAGTTATTTGCCTGTTACCTAATTAAATTTTATTTTTTAAAAAACTGTTGGACTTTTATCTTTATAAAGTATATAAAATTTTCAAAAAAAAAAAATTTGCTTTCATTGCATTACTGAATACCTGAGGTAGTTGAGTAAAAAATGCACGTTTAATACCCCTGCCACCACCATTCAAGCACTTCCCTTAGGTTATTCATGTTAGTGTTAGATAATAAAACAGAATAGTTTTTCTCTGCTAATAGCTTCACATTTAAGTTCCTGTAATAATTCTATTCTGACCCAATTGTAACAATTGGACTTAGGAGCAATCTATTTTTATTTGATGAATTTAGTGAATGCATCATTAAGCCAATTTCTGGCATTATGGGGGAATATTAAGAAAAATTAGACTATTTGTTATACTGAGAATACAACAAAAGGGAAGTGCAGAGCTCCTCTCTTTCCCTCCCTCCCCCCCTTATTTTTTTTTTTTTAAAGCTGGGTGTCATACATTTCAGAGAGCATAAAGTATACATTCTCACAGAGACAGGAGTTCGAAAGTTGCCTGGTCCTCAGAAACAACTGGCTAGGTAAAAACTTGTGCATGTGATTCTGGATGGGGGTTCAGCGCCCGTCTGTTGGTTAAGCAATCTGTCTTTGGTTTGGCATCTGCCTCTGTGGTAGGCTGTTTCCTGAGCCTTTACTTCCGTCTTGACTGAGGTGGTCCACTTTGCAGAGCTTTCTGCTGTTGGTGCTGCTTTACCTGAGTCAGAATTTCCTGAATTTTTCTCTGGGCAACCTGCAAAAGGAGAGAGCTTTGAAATTTCTACCTGATCAAAAGTTACTTCAAGTTATTTTACTCTTCCATTTCAACAACTTCAAATAGAAATTACTTAAAGATTAAAGATACATACTAATTAGTTTAGTTTGCTAGTAGAGTCTCTGAAATCACCTGCTAAAAGGGGGATTAAAAGTGTTAAGCACCAAACAACCTTAAATATTTATATGGGGTTGGGGGACCCATGGGAGAATTGCTTCCATTTGAGAAAAAAGTAAAAGAGCTTGCTTATCAACATTAGAGCCCACTTGCCTGGCAAGCATAGAAGTGACCAGTTATTTTAACAACCACTTGGTCATTCTCATCAGGCGTCTGGTCACGAGGGACAACAACTTCTGCACTTGACAAATTTTGGAGCTCGTTCACCTGAAAAAGATAAATACAAATCACGATAAGTTGAGTTTGTTTGTTTTTTTAATTACCATTTCCTGAGCACTTGCTGTATACCAAACACTAGCTATGGCTTTACAAATTTCATCTAATCCACTAATAATTCTGTCAGGTTATTAGTATTGTCTCCATTTCAAGGTGATTAAAACTAAGGCTTAGCCAAAGAAATTGACTTGCCCAAAATTACACGAGTAAATGGCAGAACCAGATTCAAATCCTGAAAGTCTGATTCTAAAGTGTACACTCTGAATCACTTCAAAATTGTAAATAGCTTTGAAAACGACTTAGAAGTTACATGTGTTAAAGAGAAACTGGAAACCCTTTGCTTCTTTGTTATAAAGGTACAAGTTATAAAGGTAAATGAAATTTTTAAAAATTTTCTTTCCATGTCATTGAGCAATAAAAATAAAAAGTTTAAGTTATATCAACAGAAAAATGCTAAATGCCCCTTATAAATGAGACAGTCCTCTCACACAAAGTGCTCTGAAAGAAAGGCATTACTGTCACTAGTGGCTGGCACCAACACTCAGATAAGAGGAACAAAAGGCAGTCTTCTCCAAACCTTGGCCCAGATGGTCCTGCTTTTTATAAATTAGCCAAAATTCAGGGACTTGGAACTCCTAAGTACCTTTCAACGCTTTCCCTTTCATACCACTGTGCACAGGTTTTGCTGAAGTACTTGCCGTTTTGCCTCCTTTTCCAATAACTCTGCCAGCAGCAAAGGATGGCACTCTGATATGAGCTTCAAGTTTCACCTCTTCTTTAGGACTAACAAAGTTTTCTTCTTTAATTTTTCCATAAATTCTTCCCTGAGCCTACAGATGAGAACATATCCTATCAGTGTCATTCATGTAGGAAACACAAAACATCCATTAACTTTAAAGATGGCCCAAATCCCCTGCAATAGCCCTTTGCAGTGATACATCTGCATTTGATAGATTGTTGAAGGTCACATAAGACACAGAGAAATTAGGAAGACCTTGAAAAGGCTGAGAATAACTACACATCACAGAGAAGGCAACTGAATGACTGATGAAACAAGAATAAACCATATTCTTCTGACAAAAACAGTTAAAGACAGTTAGTTGTCAGCCTAACTAAAAATAGATAATTTCTGTGGGCAAATGGCCATTTGCTCTCCAGTCCTGAAAGGTAAAACCTCTCCTGCTGGCAATAAGAAAGTAATTGCGTTTTTCTTGAGCAAGAAACTGGGGAAGAACTACAGAGCCAGCTGTGCCAGGCTCACAAGAACCAAGCTGGTGTCTAAATGGGCCAGTGAGAAACCTGCTGAGATGAATATTTTCTGTTTAAACACGTTTCTTCATCTTAGCCAAGTGATTTCTACTTTGAATAACAAGGCTACAAAATCAAGTTAACATACACTTGTATAGTCAACACATCCTGTCACATGCTGCATACAACTAGAAGTTATACATAAGAAACCTCTCCTGTTATGTACAACTGCTAATTTGCTCTAGTGTACACCAAAGTAAAGTTAGAGTTGGTTTAATCTGACAAGCTGCCAGGGCAAATCACAAAAAAGTATCAGACATATTTTCATTGGTACAGAAATGATAAGCTCATTTTAGGGGATTACAGAAAAAACAATCCCATTTTGGTACTCTATATTCCCTTCATCCTCAAAGTCTCAGGCCACAGATGTAGCTATTGACACACTAGGGATATATATCATCCTCCAAAACAGAAGCTCTTGAATTCATAAGAAAAAATATGGGTTAGGAGGTTTACTGTTGTTAGATCTCTAAAGTAAAATCATTTGTGATTATCACTGATCACATAAATGAGATTTAAGCATTATAGCTTAAATATTCCATTTAAGATAACTGTATAACATTGGAGGATACAGGGAAACAAACTTTGAATTTCCCAGCATACAACCATTACAGGAGTTACAAGATAGTAATTCCATTTATCAAATAGTAAGAGCTCAGCACCAAGAAACATGCAATAATTGATGTTTGTATCTATCTTTTAAGATTTCAAACTAAAAGTGACTGACCCTGTAGGTTCAGGATAGGAAGCGGTTTTCAACATTTCTGACTTATGATTTGAACTGCCTGGACCACAAGGCTGGTGTGAGGGAGTAAATTTCTTCACCTGAGTTTGAGCCTAGCCAACTGCACCCACATCTCAAAGCACCTCCTTTTGTTTCCTGTTCTTCCTGTAAATGAAGTAAAAAAAACTTTGGATTTTTAGTGAAAAATGGCCCATAGGAAATAGAGATCAAAGAAAGTGAGTGTTTAAAAAGGGGGGAGGAGGGAACAGGTAGGCACTGTTACTAGCCACATTTTAGAGCTAAGAGAACTAAGGCTTAAGCTTAAAGAGTTGTCCTATTACACAGCTATTAAGTGGTAGGAAAAAGACATAGGTTTTGGATAAATTAGTTTCATTTGAATTCAGTAGTTGCTTTTACCTATAGCAAGCAAGACACCCATACTAAGTTTTATGGGAGAAATCATACACTCACAAGTGTGTTTTATTTGTGAATTTGAGGATTTGGCAGGGTCTTAGTTGGATCCACCCAGAGTCTGCTGAACCACCACCAGCACATTTATATTGTGCTTCCTGTGTGTCAGGCACTGTTCTAAGCACTTTATATATTTTTTTAAACCTTATAACCTTTTTTAAACCATGCTCTTATCCCCATTTTATAGATAAGGAACTAGCCAGAGAAAGGTTAAGTAACTTGCCAAGTCACGCACTAGTAAATGGTAGAGCCAGGATTTGAACCAGCAGCCTGGCTGCCAAGTCTCTGCCCTGTATCACCGCTATACCACCTCTCAGTAGACAATGAGAGGCAGTCCAGCCCCAAAGGCCCCAAACTCCAAGAAACATGAGCAGTGGTTCATACCATGACAAATGTCACAAGAGTTCCTGCCATTTCTACCTCTGAAATTCAAAGGATTAGAGTGATTTGTGGAGAGACTATGGACAAGGGCTAAGAGAGTTAATCCAAGGGTAAGAGGAAAAGGGGGCATTGTAATTCAAGGTTAAGGCTTCTCAGGGACAAGAGGAAAAATTTGGGAACAAGTTTTCCAAGGAATATTAACCAGATGGGTTTATAAATTTCAGTCTTAATGTCTCACCTGCACATGTGATAACACGGCATTGACCAAATTCTCCTTTGGGAGATACATAAACCCAACAACCATTACAGAACTCTCAAAATTAAAACAAAGGCTTTTGGTTAATTTTTGAAATGCAATTTTAGGTATGTTTCTGGTCTGTTCTTAGTTTTATGAATTTCTATTGAGAGATTCTTTCTACTGAGTATTAGTTGTATTTAAGGGAGAAGCCAGGTTATGGAGTTCCTGAAAAGAAGGCATTAACATTCTCCACATCTATTCATTTGTTACCTTTGCATAGACTCTAGAGCACATACCTTGAACTGAGCCTCTGGTGGCCCAGTGATAATCACCATCCTCACTTTAGCATCTGGTGCTTCAGCTGGAGCAATCTGTAACAGACCCATCGAGGGATTATGACACTTTCAGGTGCCACTGATAGAAACGTTACACAAACCAGCCTGACATCTGCACGTGAATTACTGAAATGTAGAATGAAAGCCTTCTGGGAGGAAGTTATGGAGAGGCAGTGATTAATGTGGGTTCATTACTTAATGGCTCCTGCCATATACTGTGTACCTACACTGTGCCTGGCCCTAATATAAAAGTCCACATGCAGTCTCTCAGCTAGCTAATCCTCACTACATCCTGATGAGGTATTGCCTCTACTTTACAAACGAGGAAGCTGGGGGCTGGAGAAGCTGTTACCTGGTCCATGATCACACAGCTGCTGGAGCTGGAGGGAGAGCTGGGTCTGTCTCCACTGCCTGTGTTCCTAATCACTATACCAGTGGTGCTCAAACTGTAGTCTTTGGCCCACATGCATCAAAACCCTTCAGGCTTCCTGTATGTGCAAGTAACTGCTAAGTTCATGAATCTAAGATGATTGGTAAATTCCCCTAAAGTAGGCTCATTGGAGTAACATATGCGATAAACTAACACTAATTTGGCAGAAGAAAAGTAAATTCAGACTTCAATTTTTGCACAGTGTGTGAAATCACACAAAAAGCCTGGGCTGGGGAAACGTTGCAGAGACTGTTGCAGGGAGAAGAAGCCAGCATCCCCTCGGTGTCATAGTAAGAAAGGGTTTTGGGTCCTGGCTGGTAGGAGTTGTTTTAAAAGAAGAAAAGCTAGATGTTTGTTGTGCAAGCAGCAAATTAATTCTAATTATTTAAAAAATACATTATTACAATATAAGAATAGGAAGCAAAAAAGAGTAAAAACCACCCCAAATTCTGCCACTCAATATGATCACTGTCAATTACTTACCTAGTCTACTAGACCTTTCCCCACGTTTACAATCAAAAGAATGTTTTTACTTTTCATGGAGTTATGCTTTCTCCCTCCCTTAAAATAAAGCTAATATTTCTGTCACCTACAGCCAAATTCATATTGTTCCTATTTTATGCAGGGTGCTAATTCTGTGTCTATAAAATACGCAAATAATTACTTCCTTTAGTCCAAGCTCTTAGGATTATTCATGGGAAACCCCTAGAAAGAAGATATCATTCTTCCTCTTTCTGACTAGTTTTCTTTTTTAAAAAATACATTTGTCAGTACTGGTGATAGAGAGCTGGAGCTAAGGGCACTTGTACACTGAGCTTAGGAACAACCTAAATTTCTAGTAAGCGAACATAATCATGGTTTGGTGATACCAAATATATGCCTATTAAAGTAAGTACATATATGGAAATTTACATATATGTAACTCTTGCAGTGTTAAGAGTAGTGGTGAATCTTGCAGATTATGCATGTTTCAGACTTTTTGGAAACCAAAACATTTTAACCTCACTATAAAACCTCCATGAAAGCCAGAAAGAAAAAGAACCAAACATCTAAGTACCCAATTCTTTTTCTTCATGAAATGTTCATTGTAGTTTTTCCAGAATGAATCTACTAGGTTCTTTTTGCATGTGTCAAAGATTTATTTTTAACTCATTAATCAGAAAACTAGCAGGACAGTAAAGATAGTTCACACTTAAATCTTTTACCATTCCTTTCCCTTTACCCATTTATTTATTTTGGCTGCATTTCCTATTCACATATTTTGTTATCTTTTGCTACAAGAGAGCATATGAGGGCTATTTCTGTGTGTGCGTTTTGCTTTTTTATTACTTTAGTTTACATACAGTATAATTCACTCTTCTGGTAACAAATCATAGTTATGTAACCACCACCACAATCACAATTAAAACAGTTCCATCAGTCCCCAAACTTCTTTTGCTGCCTCTTTGTAGTCAATTCTCTCTCTACCTCCAACTCCTAAAACCACTGATTTTTTCTCTCCATCCCTATAGTTCTGTCTTTTCCACAACTGTCATATAAATGGGATCATAAACTATGTGGCCTTTTCAGTCTGACTTCTTTCTCTTAGCATAATACATGAGATTCATCCAAGTTGTTGTATGTATCAATAGTTTATTCCTTTTTATTGCTAAGTAATATTTATTGTATAGATGGACCACAGTTTATCCATTTGCCAGTTGACGAACATTTATTTCTTCCTATTTTGGGACAGTTTATAAATAAAGATTCTATAAACATTTGAGTGCAATTTTTTTGTGTGTACTGTATTCTTTTAAATAAAAATTTTTGTATAAATTTTATAAAACATAACCAAAATAAAACCCGCAATAGACTGATGTTTTCCTAAAGAAAGCTATCACTATATCAAGCCTTTGTCAACTTGTGTATTCCTTAAAACAAAAGGACCCGTATATTTGATATTACATTGTTTCTTGGCATATCAAAATACAGAATCTTCAGAACACACAATTATCTATTTGGTGGATATCATTAGTTGTCCTCTGATATTTGTTACCCCACTTTCCATAATAAAATATTTAGCTGACCACACAATGGACTACATTTCCCTGCTGGCCCACCAGCTACGTCTGGCCTTGTGATGGAGTTCTGAGCAATGGAATATAAACAGAAATATCCTAAAGCAGCTAACAGGAAACCTCCTTAAGAGAAAGGTGTTCTTTATATCCTCTGCTCCTACTAGCTGGACCACAGACTTGGTTGTTAGAGCACTGAATAGTGTCATTTGGGACCATGAGGGACCAAGACCACACCTGGGGAAGATGAGTTAGAAGGAATCTAGGTCCAAAGACGTGGTGGGACAGAACCACAATACCAGCACTGTATTACCTCCAGACTACTTTTTTTGGAGAGCAAATTTAACTTAGCTTGTTTAAGCTACTGTTGTTTGGGGTTTTCTGTCACACCCTTATGTTACCTCAGGATAGACTGCCGCATTCACTTCAAATTATAAAGTGGCAAGAAGACTCATGTTTCTGTAACTTAATGTATTTAAAGCACCAGGAGAGCCACAGTTGGCAGAACAGTACCTTAATAGAAGCTCCTGCAAAGCGAGAAAGCTGTTTGATGTGCTGCCCCTGCTTGCCAATAATGGCACCAACAGATAAAGCTGGGATAAACAGATGAACAGTCTCTGTTTCTGATTGCTGTTGGAAAAGACAGAACATACATGCTTATTTGGTAGAAATCAGGCTATTATTGTTGGCATAGGGATGGGGACATTCTCATACAGCAGGAGTATTAGGATCGTTTTGGGAAGAACCACCACAGGAAGCTGACATGAGTTTACCTAACAGGTCAAGATCTCATATTCATCCTGAAAGCATCTGCATTTAAAATGTCACTTCTCTACAAAATTTTCTTAAACTTTAGAATGTCACCAAGTTACAGATTTAAAAGACATGTAAATGTTATAAAGTTTAAATGTATTAAATAGAGGGAGAAGATTATGTTTAAAATTAAGTAAGATCCCCCATCACTATATCTAAGGTAGATTTTTAACCAGTAAGTGAAATCTGGGCTACACATCAACAAACATGACAGCATTCAAGGATACCAACTCCACACCTTATCCATGTAGATTTTGCTTCTTAAACACATACCTAGTGAACTATTTATTCTCAAAGGGAAAAACTCCTGGATCTCATCATATATGAGTAAATCGTGTAAAACCTTAGCACTACCATTCAAAACTTAGCATCCCCAAGCATAGGACAGGATTAGAAGAGAACTAACTCACGTTAGTGGTAAAATTCCATTAAGATTCTTTCCCATATAATTCTTTATTCCTTCCATTTCTGCCTTCCCTTTGCATCTTACACATGGACAAATTGGAAAACATTTTAAAGGCTAACTCCTAAAAGGTTTTTCATAAGTGGATTTTCTCTGTATACTTCATTCCTCCTTATCGTCCCACTTCAAACTAGCTGCTCCCTTCCTGAGTCTCCCTTCCAACAGTCCTTGCAGGGCTAAAGGACACACTCAGGAGAAGAGTTCACAGTGACTGGGTCCCTACAAAGGCCAATTCAAGGTTCAGGAATGTTACCAGTGAGCTAAAGGTTCTAAGATGCAGAAGCAGTGCACATGTTCGGGAAGTTTGTTTGCCTTCTAACAATAAGAAAAACATGCTTCCAAGGATAAGTTAATTTTAAGAACTTTATTTCAAGAAATATTTTTAAAATATTTTTATTTTTTTAGAGCAGTTTGAGGTTCACAGCGAAATTGAGAGGAAGGTACAGAGATTTCCCATATACGCCAAGAAAAATCTTAATGTGAGCCACAACTGAATAAACCACAACCCAAGTAAACCATAATATGCATTTGTTAAAAAAAAATGTATACTTAGCAAACTAAGATTTCTAGAGATGTTAGAAGATATTTTGCAGTAAGAAATGTACACATGAACCATACTTGGTAAGACATACTTCATAGAATTCTCTCTTGAACCTTCTAATATTCCTATTTTGTAGGATACTATAAATCCCGTTCCCAAGAACTCAAGTTAATCCATCAATACTAACAAGTACACATACAGCCATAAAACAGCTCCAGGCTAATTTCTAATTTTTTAACCTAAACTCTTTTGCAAAATTCTTTATAAGTCTCAACAAAAACATGCCAACAGTTTTGCTTTCAAGCATCTCAGAAATGAGGGAAATCTTTAGAATTTGATCATTTTAAGCAGTTTCTGAAAATCTTAGTCAAAGAAAACAGCAGCACTGAGCTCCTTCCTTTTTATTGGATGTGGAAACAAATTTTGTGGCACTTGATGGTCCACCAAATGACATTGCCACTTTTTTGTGTGTGTGAGGAAGATCAGCCCTGAGCTAACATCCATGCCAATCCTCCCCTTTTTGCTGAAGAAGACCGGCCCTAAGCTAACATCTATTGCCAATCCTCCTCCTTTTTTTCCCTTTTTCTCCCCAAAGCCCCAGTAGATAGTTGTATGTCCTAGTTGCACATCCTTCTAGTTGCTGTGTGTGGGATGCTGCCTCAGCATGGCTGGACAAGCGGTGCGTCCATGTGCACCCAGGATCCGAACCTGGGCCACCAGTAGCAGAGCACGCACACTTAACCGGTAAGCCACGGGGCCGGCCCCGACATTGCCACTCATAACCACGCAAAAATTGCTAGTGGTATTAATGGCTCCATCTTCTCCCTGTAATCCCAGAGTGCAGGCAGAGAACCTGGAACACTAAGCGCCACAGGTCTGTGGAGAGATTGATGATCAACAGCAGAAGCACACGTATGGATGAATCAGTCATTCCATCTTACTTATCCCTCGACACAGACTTACCAGAAGGCTATTCCATAGGACATGGCTTAATCACACCATTTGGTAGGAATTTTTTTTCTTTTCAAGTCTTTAGTTTCCCTCCTCTGAAGCAAAGATTTTTTAAAAAATAAATTAGTAGACAAAAACACTAGAAATAATAAAAAGGCTGGGCTGGTTCTCTAAATAAAAGGAAAACTTTTTGCCTATTTACCAATTAAAAAATGGAAATGAGAAAAGGGAAATGATATTAGACAAGATAAAAATTAAGATACAACAATGTCAATAAGTCTGAAAATGTCAAAAACTTGTTTAGGAATTACCAAAATCCATCAGAAAAACTTCATTGACCAACTATTAGCTAATTACCTAAAGTCTCAAGCCCCTATAGTTTTAATTAATTCTTTCAAGCCAAATGTTCAGGAAAAATGACAAAAACCTAGTGAAAAGGAAGACATGTTTCCTGGGGGAAAATGTATTAAATAAAACAAAACAAAAAAAACAGGAGACTACAACAAGTAACATGTTTTTTTTTTTTTTTGTGAGGAAGATCAGCCCTGAGCTAACAACCACGCCAGTCCTCTTTTTGCTGAGGAAGACTGGCCCGGGGCTAACATCTGTACCCATCTTCCTCCACTTTATATGGGACGCCGCAACAGCATGGCCTGACAAGCAGTGCATCAGTGCGCACCGGGGATCTGAACCCGGACTGCCAGCAGCAGAGCGTGCACACTTAACCGCTACGCCATGGGGCCGGCCCCAGTAACATGTTCTAATTTGCTTTTTTACCTTAACAGTATACCTTGGATATTTTCCCATGTCATTCATATGTCTCTACCTCATTCTATTAACAGAATATTCCTTCAAATAGATATACCACAGCTGATTTATCTCACCCCTATTGTGTATGTGTGTATAGTTTTCAGTTTTCAACTAATTCATGTAATGCTGCAATCAAATTTGTACAAAAATTTTTGTGCCGTTGTACAAATACCTGTATTGCATAAACTCTTAGACCTGCTGAGTCAAAGGGCCTGAACATTTAAAATTGATAAACATTATAGAATTATACAAAAAGGCTCCCTCTCAGTCCACACAGGAAGGTGGAATTCCAGTGAAGATATTCATGGAACATTTGAATGCTACCTTTGTTTTTTATAAGAGTAGTGGGAGATGAGTGAGAAGCACACTAATGTAAAAACTCAGGTTTAAGAGAAAGATAACTATGACCACGTGGCAGGGGTATAGAGCAACCCTGTGTGGAGAGTATGTGTGAGGTGCTGGGCAATACCTTGTTTGCACCTCACAACTGGTCCAACTGATGGAAACTAACAACATTCCCATTTTAAAGATGAGAAACTGAGCCAGAGAGGTTAAGTCACTTGCACAAGGTCATATGCTGACTGGGGTTGGAGTCAGGATTCAAACCGGGGCTTCTCTATCTCTTCAGCCATGTTCACAAAAAAAACAGTATGTGCCCTGCTTCTAATGGGTATGGATATGCTTTGAAATATATGTAGAGATGCAGAAGTTACTCTTAAGAAAAACGCCCAATAGAATTCTCATTCAAGGTTGCTGCCTTTTCCTAGTTGTATCACTCTTCTCTCGATCTGCCTTGATGTCACTTCCTTTTAGTCAAAAGAAATTTCTTATGTATAGTTGGCAAAAGCTTAAGCCTTTGATCATCAACATGTTAAAAAGGGCATCAGAGATAGTCCATTAAGAAATTTATTTTGAAGAATAGAGATAACTGAAGATTAAGAATGATGTAAAAGGAGGTCAAAAGGTACAAACTTCCAGTTATAAAATAAGTCAGTCATGGGGATGTATATACAACATAGTGACTACAGTTAGTAATACTGTATTGCATATTTGAAAGTTGGTACAAGAGTAGATCTTAAAAGTTCTCATCACAAGGAAAAAAAAATTTTAACTGTGTATGGTGATGGATGTTACCTAGACTTATGATCGTTTTGCAATATATGCAAATATCAAACTATTATGTTGTACACCTGAAACTAATATCATGTTTTATGTCAATTATACCTCAATAAAAAAAATACCAAAAAAAAGATTAGTTTAATTGAATCACACACAAAAATGATTACTAGAACAAGGAACTGAAATCAACAGGTTTGTTGTGTCATCTGCATACACCCAACTTATGCATGTTTAAGATACTTTGTAACTTCAATCTAAGTGTTTCAATCTTTGTTTCCACCATGAGAATAAAATAACCACATCACAGAAAAGTTGTCAAGAAAAAACCCTGTAATTCCTTCATCTTTACCTGACAGTTATTTTTCTATATCTGAGGATGCTATTTTAAAGACCTTCAGAGGGGCTGGCCCTGTGGCCTATTAGTTTGAGAGTTCAGCATGCTCCACTTTGGCAGCCCGGGGTTCGGTTCCTGGGTACAGACCTATACCACTCATCGGTGGTCATGTTGTGGTGGCAACCTACATACAAAATAGAGGAAGATTGCCAACTGGTGTTAGTTCAGGGCAAATCTTCCTCAGCAAAAAAAAAAAAAAAAAAAAGACCTTCAGAAAAAGTTTGGTTTCCAATTTTTCACTAATTCATATAATAATGCAATCAAATCTTTAAACATAAATCTGTGCTCTTGTACAAATACTTCTAAGATTTTATGTAATAGAAATGCTAGGTCAGAGCATGACCATTTAAAATTGACAAATATTTCCAAATTATCATGCTAATAAATTTATCTTACAGTAAATGTAAGTATCTTACAATAAATGCATTAAAGGGGGAAGTCATTTTAATTCAAACCACGCCTTTCACACTTATGAAAAATAAAGCAATGTATGATTCTAGACCCTATGCCTAATTTTCTACAAAGGAAAATCATCTCAA